CATATATCCTACTTCACAAATAGAATCTCTACATCAAGAGGTGACCCTGCTCATAAGTTGAGTCTAAACTACAGGGAGGCTTTACTTAATCATGGCGGTAAACTATCCTTTACTTTACTGATTTTCGATCCTCCTAACCTCAAAGTTGATAGCTTTTTAACAGATTATAAAGTGCTCATAGACGAGGCCAAAAGAGCTATCATGTTCTCAGCAAACATGTATGCAGAAATAAGGTTACTTGAATAGACCCTAAATTGCACACTCTTGCTGGAACTACTCTACGTCTTTTCAATAATGAATCAAAAAATAGAAGTATAACCTGAGAAAAACAGTATTTAACCTATTATTGACAGATTAGATGCATGATTTTGAATTTAACATAGACCATAATCTTCCGGTTGTTGTCTTTAATATTATTCAATTTCGAAATGATTATTTCAGTGTCAGATGAGAGCAAAAGATCTTGCTGGCACGACCCAATTCCTGACCAGGCGCTGTTACAAGTAGATTTACAAGAGGAGGGAATTGATTACGAACAGGTAAGCAAAACTGAATTACGACCATCCCTGATTAAATGGATGTACTAAAAAAGCTTTATGGGAAACCAAATTATAGGCTATACATCATGAGTGGAAGGGAACAGAAAGAGATTTATATCAAGGCTATGGACTCACGGATGCCTTATGTCCATTTGTATCAAGTTCGGGAATACCTGCATTTAAAATCCGTATTCGCAAATAACCTCACTTAAATGACCGTGCATGATAGGTTCTTCCACTTAGAGCATGACTGTCAGATTTCACCCTACGAAGAATATCTTTATAAATGCATCATAAAACTGAAGTAAAGGAACTGCTGAGACGTTTCAATTGGTGGGACATTGAAAATGGTTTATACGTGCTCATTTAAGTGTCAGATGCACTTTGACACATTCTAACTAAAATGCATCTCAGTTGCCAATGCTGACTGCCACATTTCACTTTCGCTAACATAACATTTATTCTTATTAAATTGTAAGGTTTTGCGGGACTTTCGATCATGTTATTCATATCCTGTTGAGGTATAATTCCGTGCAAAAATAATCCCGGTTATTTTCCTTTCAATTTTAGAAGCGATGGGTATGTTTTCAAAACTAAGAAACTTTACGATACAATATGTGCTAAGAGATTGCAGAGTATCAATGAAAAGTAAGCTTTCAGACGAAACAGGTTTTAATGTTTGGTCTATCGTAAAGCGTCTTAGCGTCCTTTGGAACAGTCTCATGTTTACCCTCGTTTTTACGATTCAATATGCCAATCTTTGTCATTATTTTTATACAATTTCATTTCTCTAAATGAGACGAATAATATTTTAAAATTAAATAGCATACGATCAGCACCTCCCCTCACCCCAAAATACTGTGATTTTTTATCAAGTAGAATACACTTTGTATTCTCTTGATCCGATGGTCATGATGAGAGCAATTTTATCGTTTGAACATGAAAGCACTGGCGTATTTGAGGAAACGTGGCAACTGCCTCTACTCGATTTATCGATCACCACGTGTGAGTTTTACGACTTCATAATCGATATTGGTCAACCGTGAAGTGCACTTAAATGTCGATATTCACGCATGCAAATCCACCCACTCAAGGCTGATGGTGCGGTCGCGATGAGTAGAGCTATGATCGCTTTCAATTTCGTTTCTCGGATAGAAGTACTGTAAGATACTTCCTGATTTCCAAAATTACCGGAAACTCAGATTTTTTAGTAGGAACCCGGAAAATCATCATTTAAATACTCTGCAATGCTAAGGAAAAACGCCGTATGAACTTCAGGCGTTGCCAAATTTCCTTTCATATAACGCGAATTTTCTGGTGAATTTGCGAATATTTTCCTCCCAATTTGCCGAATAATTTAATTCGCAATTTTACCTAAAGATTCTGAAAATTTAATGGAAAAAAATACATAACTTTCCTGAAAAATAAACATTGTATTGAAGGAAATTTGGCAACTCTCGAATTTTCTTACGGCGTTCTTCCTTAGCACGGCAGTATTGTCAGAGGTTTTGGTATAAATTTCAAGTTTTAAAATTGCCTTGTTTATACTAAAAAAAACAAGGAGCAGCAATTCAGAAATGTCGCAACAAAATACTTGGTTTTGCACTTAGGCCATTGATTAGGTATTTTCAGCACCGGAGAATTTTAGTTGCATCAAGGCACCAATGTCAAAATGGTGATTGATATTTTTGCCTCAGGTTGAGTAGCACAGTTTTTAAATTGTGAGAAATTCACATAATCCGTATTAATGCAGTTTCTATATAATGAGAAATTCGGGTCATCCGTATCAGTGCAGCTTTCGCTCGTTAGTGGAATGCTAGAATAGCAAAGAAACACAAAACGCCTTCATATTTTACGTAGGCAACATAGGCTGCTCTGGAACACGATTAGTTGCATCAAGGCGCTACAGCCAAAGTGATTATTAATATTGCAGTCTCTGGTTTCAAAAGTTTTGTTTTTGCTCGTGAGTAGAACGGTAGAAGAGCAAGACACGGCATGACGCCTTCATCTTTTGCGTAGGCAACATGAGCGGCTTGAAACGAGAACAGTTGCATCAAGGCGCTGCAGTCAAAGTGATGATCGAGATTGTGACATCAAGTTGCGTAACGTAGTGTCTCTTTGTGAAAAGACAGCTAATAAGGCAAGACAAGGCTTTACATTTTTGTGCAGGCAACATGCGCCGCGTATTTTTAACTGTCTTTCGACAGCATGAAAAACAAATCAGCAGACACCAAAATATCGTTCTGGAAAGAACTTAACATTCCGAGCTCCGGTGAAAATTCAAATAAAAAACACTAATGCTTATTGAATTTTGACTGCAGTGTAAGCGGCGATGTGAGACGGAGCAGTATTTCAACTGCCTCGGGTTCACTCATCATTGTCCGTTGGAAAAGAACGATGGAAAGACCTTATGTCAGTTGCACAGTGACGACAGAATCAGTGCCGGCCCGCTTGCTCTCCGCTACTCACAGTGTGCATCCTATACCGAACGCCTTCCATGCATTGACTGTAAGATATTCATTTAGCTTTCCTTTTGTTTGCTGCTGGTGAAATGGCTTTCATTTTTATCCCTTTTCGATATTTCCAAGGTCGTCTGCTGGAACATTAAGAAAAAAATGTCATCTTGAGTCAAAATAAACTTTGATAAAATATTTCTCGCGGAAGAATTCCATTTGAATCAGTTGGATATCTTTACTAAAAAAAAAAATACCCTGCCCAACTGTGAGGGTGCACGTACCTTGCGCAGAAAGGCTAGTAATGTTCTATCTCCTTTTAATTTGCATAGTGCTCAGTATCATTTAGATATTACGGTGGCCTGAACCAAATCAGTCCAACTGCATTCACGTTGTCAATTAATATGTCTAAATTATAGGCATAGGTACCTAATGCACAACTTTAATATGCTGAGAAATAGAAAAAAGTGAGATAATCAGAAAACTGTAAAATGTGGTTTTTACACAATACAATATGAGGATGGCATGATCAGACAGGCTCCTAATACAGTTACGTAGGTTGTTTGAGGTTTTAGTAATTTCATAACAATTAAAGGATTTTTTCAAATTATTTCACAAGTAAAATAACCATTAATAACATTTTTTCAAATGTTACTTGTGGTTAATTTTACCGTGCTATTTGCAAATATAATTTGTTCCCAACGCTGTTAGGGTGATTTAACCTACCATTTATATTTTTAGTGCCTGTCCTTACTAACAGGAATTTTATCACCAAAAAATTCGTTACTGTGTTTTAGTAACTGTTTCTTGCTCCCAGAGACTCATGTCTATTACTTTACATTCGAAAGGATTTAACGGTCGACTTTTCGCCTTGGGTCACTCTGATTCGTGTGGTGTTTCTGGCCGAAATCAGATTAAGACAATTTTGCCAATCCCATTGACGCAATCGACCAACATGTGCGGGGTTATCATCGCGTACTCTTCCGGGGAGTACAATCGGTAAGTTAAAAGCAGCGTTTTCCGTATGATTGTCGGAGTAAGCCGCAATTTTTTGATAACATTCAACAAAGAACTTGGTACAATTCTAATTCCTAATAGCACACTGTAAACATTTTAAAATGAAATTTGTTAAAATGGACCAATAAGGAAATGCTTGAGAGAAAATGTTTCGTAAAAAAACTATATGAAAAATCAAGTCCACCCTTCCAATTGTCTGAGCCATCCGCTCACTAGTCCTTACGTGAATCATTAAAAACAAAAAGGGCACATGTCCAGAAAACCAAATTGTTCAGGAGACAAAAAAACTGTTTATTTCGTGGTAGGTAGATATTTTTTTAAACATAACGACTTTCCAAAAAAATATCTACCACGAAATAAACAGTTTTTTGTGTCTCCTGAACAATTTGGTTTTCTGGACATGTGCCTTTTTTGTATTTAGTGATTCACGTAAGATTCTTGAGCTCTCATTTTACAAATTTCCACAGGCAGTGGCGATTTTACAAGTAGGCAACACTGTTTTCCTTCATTTAAATCCATCGAAAATATCAATTTATATGGTAAAGCAGCTGAATCGATTGTTTTACATACGTTCAAACAGAGTAAAAACAATGTCGCTAGGTTTCAAGAATTTTCACTGTTCAAACTTGTAAATATATGTACATGCTAGAACATGAATGGCACACACTTATTCGTGATCCACTAGTCGAGATCGGCGTTTTACATGATTCTGGGTACAGGATCCACTACAAGGAAAAACGCAATGGTGTATTTTATTTGGAAAATGCCCTTAAACATGTGCCCCTTTGAGAATGGTGACATTGCAAACTGCCTGTCATCTTCCACTTCCTTTCTTAAATGTAATCAAACCCTCTTCAATATCGAATTTTTTCATTGCAGTATTCACAATGTGCTACCATTCCACGCAGATTGTGGAGAAAATGGCATATTTCAAATTTTGCCGATGCAATTAACGTGATTTTTAGGTCATAATCTGTAAGAATTCATTTTTGCTCTACAGCTAAAGTTTTACAGATCCATACGTTTTGACCCTCGCGTCACTATTTTCTTGTATTATCACTTTCCAGTTCGACTGTTTAATGACTTGAACTGTTGCAGGACCGTCGCTAGTGCCATAGTAGTTGTCCAAAGACATCCAATCATTCAAACTGCAGGTGACAGGGTCGTTAAGGTGTCTTGTGCCATTCCCGATGATACTACACCGTACAACTATCCGAGGCCCTCCTTCAACAACATCACGCTGGACACTAGTTTTGGAGTTTCCGATCCAGGGTAGGAATTCGACAACTTAGAAACTATAAAGTAGCTCTAGTATGTGTCAGATATTTGCGATTTAAGTAATGACTTCTAAGTAGAATTTTACAAGAAACACAAGAGCGCCACTACTTTTCTCTGAAATCAACTCCAAAGTCCATAAAAAGCAAAGCGATTTAAATAATGATTTCCAAGTAAAATTTTGCGAGAAACACGAGAGCGTCACTACTTTTTTCTGAAATCAACTCCGAAGTCCATAAAAAGCTCTCAAACTCGGTCTATGGCGTCATCCACCACGGTCGTGACGCACTTGCTTTCTTCCACATTATGCTTTCATCTAAGTTTTACGTTGAGTGACCAGTGAAAATGTGCGTCTTCCTGACTGATGAAAGCAAGGTGGAAGAAACCAAGGGTGTCACTACCGCAGGGAATGAAGCCATGAACCAAATTTTTCGAAGCGCGATATCTCTGTTTAAATTCAACGTTTGCTGTTTGGAAAAATATTATTATTCTGAACTGATCTACAATAATTAAGCATCGAAACCCAATTTTGTGACCGGAGCAACTGACCCATTAACATTTATCTGATGGAAAATATACAAATGACGTCATATGTATAATGTAATAATTTTCATTTGATCTATGTTACATGTACTTGTTAATATCTTGTTGAGGAGTTGATTTCCAAACTGACCATTGCGTGTAAACTGTCATACACGTAATATTTTGAGGAGGAAATATGGGACGTTTTCTTCCAGTCCAGACCTTATGTAGTTGCCCATTGATAGTTGGCGTTTTGTCAACTATAATGCATGTGCACAAAACTACATCGACGGTGAAACTACCAGACTGCGTATCTCGGTTTGTGACGTCGTTGCAGACTTCTCGTCATACTTTATTTTTTAAATGTAAAACTTCCGATCGGAAGTTCTTGAAAACTGCCGTAATTTTCAGGGCCGCCCATGGGTTGCCTGTAATTTGCCGCCCCCTTCTCATTCATTTTGAAACTCGATATAAATTATCAAGTGAACGTGCCAGTGGGGGAGGGGTGAATAAGACGCTTTTACTCGTGTTGAACACATTTTTTTGGAAAGCCCTGTCAACACTACTAGCAAAAATTCACGAAACTTTGCGCGAAAGTTAATTTCCGTAAACGTATCTCTGTGTGGAAGATCTCATGTTTGGCGCAAAGCGTGAAGTATTCAGACAGTCTTGTAGGCGCTATGCGTTTCACGCCGACCGCTGCTAAAAGCACTGTGTTGGACGCAATGCGTGAAGTATTCACGCAGTCTTGTAGGCGCTATGCGTTTCACGCTGATCCCACTGTGTTTGGCGCATGAGTGAAGTATTCATGCATTCTTGTTGGAGCTATCCGTTTCACGCTGACCGCAATGACCGCACTGTGTTTGATGCAATGCGAGAAGTATTCGTGCAGTCTTGTAGGCGCTAATATGTGTTACATGCCGATCGCCACGCCGAGGGCTTCTCCTTTTCATCTCAAGTTCTCGTTATCTTGTCTCTCTAAGTCAAATCGCGTGTTTGGTTTCTCTCTGAACTCGACTAATTGAAGGTGCTGTCTCTTGTATCACTAAGAGACGACAAAATTAGAATTACTATACTCTTAGTAAATGAGAGATTTTGTCACCTTTTCTCGATTGTAATTTTTTTTGTCTGAATCCGATTTTTTTTTTTATACCTACACTTAAAAAAATTGCAAATTTTTGCCGCCCCTTAGATTTGCCGCCATGGGCCGCGGCCCATGTGGCCACCCCCTTAATCCGGCCCTGGTCATTTTTCTTCTGTGTTTGACGAAAATTCTTTGAAAACTTCAAGGTTTGATATTGCATTGTTCTCCTTTAAAAAATAAAGTACTAATAAGTTCGGAAAATTTTAAGAACCATAAACGAGATACATGGTTTGGAAGTTTCACCATTGATGTAGAATACATTATGAAAATCATTTATGACAATCACAAGTTAGAGCTATTTCAGAGGTATGTACTTTTTCTCACACTCATTTGAGTCTGTTACTCTTCCTAGGGGCACTAACGGGCTGTACAGCGAGACAATCAGCAACATTAGCAGCACTCCACCAACTTATCAGTCTCCACCGATCGCGAGACTCAGAGTTCGAGATTTATCTCAAGGAGGCGAAGATGCGACTGAAACCATGCTAGGAGATGATCTGGAGTTCAGGGTTGATATTGATCCTCCTTACAGTAAGTCTATTTTTAAGATATAGCAGAAATAGGGAGTATAAAAAATTCTACTCAGGATATTGTTCAGCTTTTCAAAAGAGTATACAAAGCATTGTTTTCTCCAGAATCCTCAGTATGAAGTGCGCTTCAACCTCTCAAAAAAGTTTCGAGTTTAGCCTTGGATAGACGATCAAATTCTGAACCAATTCCGATCAAAGTAGACATGCTGATGGCTGATGGTCACCATGTACCATCAAATTTTGACGAGCCGCACTTATTTGTTCAAAGTAAGATCAGAATGGAGTGCCACCATTCATCATTTCCTGCCACAGGAAACATTTCTGCCAAGTTTTCATTTTAAAAAGAAGCCAATTAATGAGTTTACGACTGATGACTCCCGACACTTTGATGCTACTTTGATCGGAATTGGTTCGGGAATTTGATCGTCTATCCACGGCTTTTGGTTCGTGTTCATGCATCTTTGGAACCAAAACTTACGTGAAATTAATGTTAAACTCACTTCAAACGACTGAAATGTATGAAGAATTTGGAACAATCAGGCAGGAACTAAAATTTTTGGTTCAGTTGTAAAAACACAAATGTGCGCAGGAAAATCAATAACACTTACGTTGTTTCTAAACTGAGCAAGAAATTTTAGTTCCGAATTGTAAAATTTGGTCGGATTGATCACTGTGAATTGTAATTACAGATGTATCAGTGCTGAAAGCCGGTCATCTGGTGGCGAGCTCTGGGGACGCCCGTGACTCTCTTCTACTCCTCGATTGGCGGGGGTGCCCCCCCGAACCCCAAACGTTCCCGGCGCTCACCCCTGAAGGACCTAACTCCTTGGTCGCCGTATTCAAGGCCTTCAGGTTTCCATCGTCGCCGATCTTGAGGTTCAGCCTTGTTCTCACACCGTGCGAGAAGAACTGCCAGCCTGTGAGTTTTTATTTTATTTTTTAAATGTTTTTTTTTTAATTTTGAATTTTTTTATTTTTTAAATTTTTTTTATTTTTATGTTCTTATTTATTATTGTCTATTTTTTATTATAAAAGATTTTTCCTCTTTTTTTGGATAACCCTCAAGGCAAAGGTTGTTATCTTAAAATGAATCACTGTATTCGGTATTCCCAGTTTGCCTCGTTGAAAGTGTTCTTTACAGTTATACATCATTCATCTGTACATGTGTCTGATAAAATCAAACGATTTTCACAACGAGAAGATGATTCTGGAGGCTTGTCATCTAAACATGTACTGCTGGAAAAAAAGTCCGGTGTTCCACCATCTCAATTAATGTTTTTGTCAAACAGAACTTTCAGTTCGTGTTACCGCAGTTCGGTTCGTGCATCTGAACTCATGAAGTACTGTAAACTGATGAAAGAGTATCGGTGTCGTAGATCCGATAGTTCGATCGGACGGACCGAATTCACATGATATGGAGCACCGAACGCTCGGTTCATAAGACCAAACCTTTTTTCTTCGAGGACACCTGATTTATTCCCACTGTAAATATTTTCTAGGTTTACTGCGGTAATGGTGTATCCTCTTTGGGTCGGACGAAGCGTGCAACCCTTCAGATGCAAGAAATCCCTCTACAGCTCTCGATCATTGTTAGACCTCTTGATATCAACGAAACAGCGAACACGACGGACACGTCCCGACAGCTTCACTCAGGTACAAAAAGTGGATTCGGCCTTTTTAAACCTTATTATAACCATTAATGGTGAGACAACATTGTAAAACTGAGACAAAAATCAAATTTTCAAAGACTGCAAAATTCAGACGACCATTTTGTTGTTGGTAATTGCCATATTTCTACCGGGAAGACTGATTTTTTTTTTTTTACCTTTTGGTTGGGTGCCTGAGATTCATGAAAAATAGAAAAGTGGATCGAAGAACAGAAATTAATAAAATCGTTGGTGTGACGAGACGATAATAATATTGAAGCTTAGAATATGACTGACAGGAAATGGATCGGATTCAAATTCATATAATTTTATATAAAATCCAATAGGAATTTTTCATTACCATTTACTCAAAAACAAAAAATTGGAAATGTAGAACCAACGTGCGTTATTATTCAGTAAACTGAAAATCTCAATACAAATTTACTCATACGATCACTGAGATATTTTGTCTGAGGTTCAATGTTTTGGAGCGCGGGTTTTATTTTTTGAAATGATTATATTATCATTTTTATTTGGAAAGGTATATTTATAAGTCTTTAAGGGGCGTCTGATGTTTAATTCTCTCTCAAAATCCTCTGAACTGCCGAACTCTGTGTAGAAATTCATGACACTGCCATATTTTTGTTTGTTGCATGTTATTTTTTGTTATTTATCCTTTCATAAGGGAGCGGATTTTATATTTGCAGACTCATTGTTGCGTTGACATAGAATACTCTCTATCCTTAAGACTTCATTCGTAATATATACTTCCTATATTTATCGTTCCTCTCTTATGTTTGAAAGACAAATATTGAGCCTGTATAAAGAGCAGCATCGAACAAATGTAATTTTGAAAATAAAAACTATGTTGATGACGAGAATTTTTTCTTTTTTAAATAAAATTGAACCTCTTGAAGAATTTTGTGATCAAAACTCCTTTCGAATCCTTGAAAATTTAATAACACACATTGAAAGCGATTTGAAGACAATAAATTGTTCAGTTTACGGTTTCAGTATCACATTTTTCTTGTGAGACTTGAAAACATAATCTGTGCTCAATAGCAATATACTACATGAGCTTCTTGTATCCTATACTTTTTTATTCTGCTGGGTGCTGAAGCCTTTACAAACATTCCTTGTAACCGTTTTTTATTGGTCCTTGCTCTGATAGATTTTTGGCTTTTGGATTAGGTTTCAAGGGAAGATATAAATTGGTGCATAGCGCATCCAGAGTAACACTTAATCTCCTTAAGTCACCTGCAAGAAAGTCTGAAACGCCTTCATTTGTTTAAAATGCAATAAGGCCGTGCATCAAGACCTGATGGTTGCATTCCGGTGTTTTTACTTAGGAGTAAGTCAGGAGTTCCTTAGCGAAATCCAGGTTTCCTTTACGCTTCAGAGAGGAGAAGAAAGTAGCAGTAATGGTAGTAATATTCGTAAGAAAAAGAGAGAAACGAATAAGAAAAAAAATAAAAATATATTTATTAAATTAATGACTAGATATAAAGAATCAGATCTAAATTATCACTAAAAAATTTAGGTAATTAGCACTTCCAAAATCCGGAGACCACCGAGATCACTTGAAAAATTTGAGAGGGATTTCGAGCCCTTCAAATGTATTCCGAGGGCAATGAAATTTAATCCAATCCACAGTTCCTCAATATTTTCGTTGCCTCGACTCGTCACTTTCATTTCAACAGTGATGTACTGATTTTCTCTCTATTCTCTAATATTAAAAAAAAAAAAAAACTTAGACGTATGTAAACTCGTATTTGTAACTCCTATGACGTATATTTATGATTCACATATCGGTATTACTCTCTAAAAAAAAATGTCAATTACATTGATCGTGAAAATGCCTCTTGGAATTGAATGAATTCTTAAGAAATACACTCAGCTACAAAACTGAATCCAATCAAGTTTGCGCCAGTAGTTAGACGCATTAGATCAACTGTAAACTACTTCCTATTTTTTTATCCTATTCGCCCATTTAAAATAGGGCTGTTGAAGTTTAGGCTAGTCTGAGCTCGTTTGAAAAATAGTTAATAATAATAAAAAATCAAAATAAACAATAATAAATAATAGAAATAGTGGCATATCGGCCGTGAAACAACCAGACCACGTATCGTCGCTCCTCTGACGTAAGGGCGTATCTTAATTTCTACGTGAGCCCTGTTCTTCATATAACCCCATGCTTTTCAGGGCTCACGTGAAAATACAGATACACCCTTACGTTAGAGGAGCGACGGTATCTCTGTCAGAACGTTGCAGCCTTCCCAGCCATACTTCATTTTTCTCGTGAAAAACTGCTCAACGTCAGTTTTTTAAAACTTCCATGTTTTTTCTTCTCTGTGCAAAGAAAACTCCGTGAAAATTTCAAGGAATGATACTCGTTTGTTCTCTTTCAAAAAATAAAATGAGAGCGTAGATTCTATATACCTACTTGCAAACGAGATCCATGGTCTGGTAGTTTCACCTTCGAAATACACAAAAATGAGGGGGATTTCTCCTTTTAATTGAGCTCTAGGATGAAATTATTTGCAGTTATTGAATCACCATGTCACATACTAAAAATATGATGGTGTTCGAACTTGTTTTTTTCTTGACAGTGGATTCCAAAGTATGCAATTCTGAATTAACTCGTCAGTATATTGATGTTATCTGACAAAAGGCTCTTGCATTAAGACTATACCGGTGATTACTGGGATACGTCGCCTTGATTAGCAAATAAATTAAAATCTCTGGGAAGGTAAACAAAAATTATAAAACCAGTGTGTAGCTCCGTCAATCATTAATCGAACCTAAAATCATTTTCACCTACCTAATTGAAACAGATGCTACTAATACCACATTACAAAAATTCAATATATGCATTACAGCTGATACCAGGAACAAGGACTTGTTTATCGTTGGAAAACCAAAATTGAACGTGGCAAAGAGTTTAGTCAATCGTTCAATATCCGGCGATTTTTGGAAATTTTATTTTAAAGACAAATGTAACAGATGGGCAAGCCAAAGGCGTCATCGGTCGGCCAATGTCCTCATTGGCCAAGCGATGGTAGCCAGTGCGAGGTTGGGCCATCATAATTACACGATTGCATGTGAGAAACTTGGGGTGTCCCATGAGAGCGACTCAAAAATTTCTATGGTGTAGAAAATCGCAATTTCGATATCAATGAAAAGACTATAAATACTAGGCGTGAAGCAATCAAGGAAAGCTAAAAAAAAATCAAACAGATAAAATGTTGAAGACTTTCAATCCAAAATATTATGCGATCCAGGTTGATAAAAGTTTTACCAATCCAGTGGGTTAGCAGAGGCAATACTTAACCTTATTCCCCTAAGTGCAAAATTTGAGCTTTGGAAGTATCAGCGCACAGTTACAAAATATCGTTAAAGTGATCTATAGGAAACCTAGTAGCCAACACTAGATTTTTGGTAATATTATCCGGTGTCTGATTAAGTGCAATTTTTGCAGAGACAAATCACACAACATTTGATTTTTCAGGAGGAGAATCAGAGTTGATTTCAGGATTTAATATTGAAAATGGAAAAGCAAACTTTTAATATTATATATCTCTTACAATACTCTGGAATTTTATTGAAAATATTTTTTATATAAAATTGTAGTACTGTAGTATATTTACAAAAATAATGGGCCTCTAGAGAGGGTATGAGCGAAAGCACCACGCAGCATTGTTTTTTCCCCCAAAATTTTACCATGAATTCGAATCACACAACGGAAAATCCGCAAATCGACTCCTAAACAAGATGTAAAATTAACATTAGTGAAATGGTAAAAATACAAATGATGTCATTTGTATAATTTGAACTCCTATGTAGTTCCTGTTAAAAATAATTGTAAATTTCTCTTTTAGGATTTGATTTCCAAAGTTCCCGTTTTGTGAATAGTTTATAGGGGAAAGGTTTTGAAATGAAATCACGTGATATTCACTTTTAGCTCAGCCCTTGTCTAGTCGCCGATTGCTGTGAGGATTTTCTATTTATGACGCAAATTTAAATAGGGATTTTTCCTTTCATTTTATTTTATATTTTCTAATATTTTTTTTTTTTTTTAAAATTGTATTTCATTTAATTTTCCTTCATAGATTCGGTTCTAAAAATCCAGTATACCAGCTATTAGATTTCCTGGATAATATATAGGTATGTCAAAGAGTTCTAATCACGACTAACATTCTTTTTTTAGTGGGTGTCTCAACATTCTCCGGGTGCTTGATTTTGTACTTTTGATTCGTTCCAGATGATACCGAAATTTGCGCCACTTGGGGCATGATGGTTGCTATTGGGGCTATTTGGCTCGGCATTCAATTTCTACTACTGGCAGTCTGCTGCTGCTGGGCGTCACGAATCAGGCGAGAGAAAAAGTACAACGACACTGTAAGTCTTCAGCACGACTTTCAACCAAGACACGTCACGTGGGCCGATCACCTTCAGAGTCGTTAAATGTTTACCGTAAGTAAACTCTTGCCGGACCGATGCTCAAATCAAACATTAACTATTATTGGACCATAGGTAAAACGTAAACGCATTAAGTCACATCAAGTTTGAAAGAAGAAAAATAAGTTGTATCCCACTATACTCCAAGGACATTGTTAACTTAATGTTAAGAAAAAAATTAACAATTTTCGCGTCGTTAATATTTTTTCTACACTTAAAGTTTTCACTGTAGAAAACTAACAACTAGTTGAGTTTAAAACTGCGTGACTCTCCGAGTCTATGAGTACACGCAACAAGTCCTATTTTGGAGGAAATTATGTTTTGGGGCTAACTTTTTCCAAAACACGACTTGAAGCGGTGTTGTTAAAAGCGGCCCAAGTGTCGAAAATATGGGGACAAAATGAACGATTTTCACCGGAATTATCCTTATTACCTCAAAAGTTGCCTGATTTACTCCCAAGTATTTATTTATTTTTTTTTTTTTACATAGACACCTGCAATATTCTGCCTTAAAATAGTTAAACTGTCATTTGCATGAATCAATGGAGATAATTTATAAAATTTTTAGACAGTTATGAAATACCGAAAATTTGACATTTTTACAGCTAAAAACCGATGAGGACCGGTTTGAATAGTATACAGGGTGTTTCAGACCACCCGTACCAGGCGTTTTTCTCGGTTGGTTTAGGTCGTACGAAGTCGGGGCCCGCGGGGTTGAATAGAGAATCGACCCCAAGGAATCCGAATTTCGTGGTCCCGAAACCCTCCCACCCCCCCTTTAGGGGTAAAGGGGGGGTCACGATGCTGAAAGTCACGGTTCCCGACCAAATTGCGGATAAATCGCATCAGAATTGAAAAGCACGGAAAATTTCACGTGAAATTGACCCCTATAAATCCAAAATCGGCCCATCCAAGGCCCAAAAATGACCCCCTAAAGAGGGGGACAGTACCCCCCTCCATAATTTCTCTTTGGTCTCAAAATTGGCGTAGATTCTCCAGAAAAAGACGGTTTCCCAAGTAATCGACCTCGAAAAATCCAAATTTTATGGTCCCGAAGCTCCTCTAGCCCCCCTTGAAGGGTAAACGGGGGGCCCAATTTTAAAAATCGGGGCTCCTTTCCGAATCGCAAATTGATTGCATCCAAATTGAGGAGCAGAACACATTTACATCTTAAGTGACTCCTAAGAGTTCTAATTGACACCCCTGAACGGCAAAAAGTAACCCCCTGAGGAGGGAGGCTTCGCCCCCTCCCAAAATTTCTCAAGATTCCTCTTTGGTCGCAAAATTGACGTCGATTCTCCAGAAAAATACGGTTTCCCAGGTTATCGACCCCGAGGAGCTCAGGGACCATGAAATTTAGTCCTCTGCGTCGATTACATGGGAAACCGTAGGGGTCAATTTTACGTGAAATTTTCCGTGCTTTTCAATTCTGATGCGATTTATCCGCAATTCGGTCGGGAACCGTGACTTTCAGCATCGTGACCCCCCCTTTACCCCCCAAGGGGAGGTGGGGGGGGGTTTCGGGACCACGAAATTCGGATTCCTTGGGGTCGATTCTCTATTCAACCCCGCGGTCCCCGACTTCGTACGACCTAAACCAACCGAGAAAAACGCCTGGTACGGGTGGTCTGAAACACCCTGTATAGTAATCATGGAACATTTTTATTCGATGATAAATCTAATTGACGATCAGGTTCAAAACTTTGAAGTACTAAGCGAGTTGCTTCAAATATTGGAGCAAAACAATTTTAATGACAAAAGGTTGCAGAGTAATAAACGTTACGCTAAAATTTTCCAGACGACGTCTTCGATCGTGCAATTCTGACTCCTAAAACGGATTTGATCAAAACAAGAGGAATGGAAGTCTCTGAAAGCAGATGTACCTCTTGGTAATACAATCAATGGACTCTAGTCAAAAATTCCATCAATGGACGAAACGTTTTTCACAGGGAATTCATAGTGATTGAGAGGTAACTGTTATTAAAAAAGCAAGTTACCATCAGCCAAAAAACCGAAAGAAATGTATAATCAAAACTATACTTATTAAAATTAATTCAATTCTTAATAATGATATTTATTTACGATTTTGTACGCTGCCAAATAAAATTTTTGCAAAATTTATCAGACTTCTATGTGCAGACACTAAGAACTAAGAACTATAGTTAAAATTATTGCAGTGGTTCCTCAACTATATGAGGGTGGTAAAATATATAAGGAGTGTTCCATGAATATGTACGTCTACATATCAGTAGTTAAACATTTAATAGTGTTTTTTTTTTTTTTTTTTTTTTTTTTTTTTTACAATTTTGTACGTAGTGCCACAAATATTAATTAGATGTCCTTGTGAAACACCAGCAATATGGTAGTTTTAACGATAGTTTTTATTTTCTCAGTGCACGAGTGCGCGCTTTCCAACCAACTCAGAAACAGACACTTATATACGCTTCCAAAGGGTGAATCATTTTCATTCAAGATCGTTGGTATTCATTTACCAAATGTTTCTGAACTGAAACTGTTTAGTTATTTACTTCATGCCAATAAGAGTATCTCCTCCTAAATAGCAAAAAATAAATTAATAGATGGTACGTTCCTGTTCGTGACGTACTTACGTGAAGTACGTGACGAGTAAAAAATGAGAGCAATTAAATATGACCGTTCGCTGGGCACATATTTCCGCAAAAAGAGACTTCATTTTTTTTGTTTTTAGAATTTTATTTGTTTTTTATGACATTTACTGGGTTTGTATCTAATAATAACATATATATTATTTACAGTCCTATACAATTTCAACAAATAGACATGACAAGCAATATACATTTTATAAGATTTTTTTAATACATGCTTTGTAAAAGACAGAGTACTGTACGTAATAAAGTCAGTTTGTGTTAGAAAATATTATTTCCGTAATTATAGTCTATTGTCCAACAATAAAAAGACGAAACAATCGTATATCGTTTAACAAGTGGTAATAGTTGAACGAAATAGAGTTGCGGTAGCAGTTACGTTTGACAAACATAGTTTTCCTATCGACTCGCAAATTTAAAAGATGATTTTTTTCATGATGTGCTTGATGTCACGTTAATGGATGGGGCAGAGAGTTAACAAACATCATAATATACCTACATTTGAAAACCGAAATAAGGGAAATGTATGAGCCCCGACACAATAACTTTAAAACTAATGAGTGAAGGAAGGTCATTTTTAAAAGTTTTGTGAAAGAATTTTTAAGAAATGAAATAAATAAGTAAATAAAAAAATAAAATGACAACAAAAAGGAGATATAACAAATAACATCTATTTTAACACACACACCGCGTTCCTGGGAAGTAAGAAAATATCCCCAAAAATAGACAACTTTGGTCTATGAACAAGGGCGTGTTTTTGTTTTATTTATTTCATCTTTCAACGTGCAATTGTATAACTTTTTTGCTGATAAAATCAAACAAATACACCAAAAAATAAACTATCAACATCATAAATCTGAACTACTTGATATTTTTCACGAGATCAATGTGAATTATAGTTTCATATTTGAGGTTTATAAATATGAATAACAGAAAGACAGTAATCATAAGAATATTACGAAGAATCGCGGTAAATTTCGGTCATTGGGATAATATGTACCAATTAAGCTTCTCGTAGTAGGTACTTGCATAAATAAATTTTAGTAATTTATCAATTCGAAGCGATAGGTTGTTTATTTGAGCGTTTGATTTTAACAAAGGTACTCATGCAAAGTTAAAATTTATGACCCTTTTGTGATTCGGACACAGGTTGAGATTTATCGCAAACTAGAGTAACTCGTCAAGTTCAACCAACATATTTGGGGGATAAAATAAAATTAAAATAACCAGAAAGAAATACGAATTGGCAGTAGACAGAATTCATTATTCACCTTGTCTCTGAAACACCGATTGTTGATACTTAACATAATAATTACATATGAAAAAATCATTCATAAATGAAAAACAAAGTCCATGATGCACAATTTCAAGCAACTGAGCAGCAGATGAGTTTATCTGTATATTTTAAAAAAGTAAAATTAGCGGCAAACCACTTTGCATTTTCTTCATTCGACAATCAATCACATGAAATTATTTACATAAGGACTCGTGCAGATTGGTTACATTACTCTGATAAGTATTGGGAAAAGCACTAAGAAAAGGAGCAAAACCTGTGATGTATTTTACTGTCAACCTAGACTATCTTTTTGAAGATGTTCTCATATTATCTTTCTAGTTTTTCCCGCAACATTTTGGTGATTAGAAATCTGTCAAGTGACGAATGTTGAAATTCAATCGATTTAAAAAAAAAAAAAAAAAAAAAAAAAAAAAAAAAAAAAATAAATGAGAGAAGAGGTATAGAAATTTCTAACAAAAGTTTAATTACGAGTAAATTGAACTAATGAGAAAATATTGTTGAATGAATGTCTCTGTGCTTCGATTTATCGTTTGAAGAAAGAAAAAAACAAATGATATAAATCCAATTGGCTTAATCATTTTAAAGATGAAAACAAGTCGTACTTTCATGGAATGTGCTTTCTTCGGTCAAAGCAGAAACTCCATTTAATGGTTTAGTACTGATTCCTATACTTAGACAACATGAACTTATCTCTACGCTATCACAACAAAAACTTTACCTACTCATAGGATTATTGTTTAAAGTAATGAGACCTTTGATTTTAGTTATAAACCTTTCTTTTGAAAATAGATGTAGTTTATTTTTTTACGTATCCAACATTTTTCACGAGAAATTAGATCGCCGATGAATGGGAAAGCCATTGGTTCATGGGCAGTTCAGGGGCAGATCATCAGAGAAACGAAACATAAAAAACAAGTAGTATTTTGCATGTCGCACACTGGGAGTGTCTTATATTTTTATGAAAGATTCCAGTGTCTGTTAAGAATGAACGATTTATCCTAAACGTTGCATTTTAAGATATCAATGGACACTTTAAAGCGTCGATTTTAATAATTTTATCATTCTTCCCTGGCTGAAGTCGTTGACAGATTTAATACATGGATCCAAGCCAAATTAATCAAATTAGGACTCTTTTTTCCCTGAGATTTGACGTGTGCAGAGGAAATTAGACAAATCATACATAAATATCCTAATTTCCATTTTGCTGAATTTTAAAAGGGTCCGGAAATCTGGTTAGAATTTCAAATTATTCAGGATGCTATGATATATCTGTAAAATCACGCAGAAAAGTAAGTCAACATGGATGCAGTTCATTTTTTCATACTCTTAGAAATATGAGTTAAATGAATATTGATTAATTGAAATTGAATCGAAAAACTCTAATGGTCCTGAATTTGTTTTTTTAAGAATTTGAATCTGTTCTCCAACGAGTCACCTAGTCTTCAGGTTGAAATCTGCCGTCAAACCTCAAACATAATTCTGTCCCAAACGACATTTAAGAGATGAAAAGTACTTCAAAGTTTATGGTACACCCAAGTTAATTATGTCACTTATGAAGTCAATGGTATGGTAATAATGATTGGTCTAGACATGACACATGGATACCAAACATGTGGTCACTATGTATCATATGATGTGCCATATTTAAAGACTGGGTGTGAGTTACAAGTGTAACTCATCGTTAAATATTAAAGGTAACCATAAGAAGATGGAGAGTAACAGGCAAGTAGCAAAAGTTATTTTTAAGGGGTTGAGATCAAATTCCGAATTAATTGAGTACAAAAATAAAATCGCGAACATAATTATTATTCAAACTAGATAACGGTCATCTGATTTATTCATGTTCTATCACTCCCAAAATAGCAATGTGGAAGAGTGCTTTCATCCATCAGTTTAGGAAAATTAGGGAATCGGTGAGGCTAGCAAAATTTTATTCAGAGGCACTCAAATGGTCATTTTGTGTTAAAATTCCGGTATCATTGTGATACTTAAAAAACGAGAATATACTCAAAATTCCATTGTTTCATCCTTATGCAAAAGCTTTGTTATTCTAGTTAAAAACTGCAAGCATATTATTTAGTTAAAAAATTTCAATTTGTTAGGTTTGAGTCATAATTCAAGCAATAAAGCGCACTGAATATAATTTAGAAAAAGAAGACAAAGCGGGCAAAGTATTTTCCTTCGAATAAAATTACATCTATCACGAGGAATAGAAACAGCACCGTTATTGGCAGTATTTCTGAAACCACTGAAAAAACAATAAAGTACTTTGATAAACCACATACGTTGGAGAGTAAAAAGAGGAAATTATTTGGAAAAAAGGTATCTCTCAATTCAGATTGTGGCTGACTATCTCGTGATACTACTCAACATACTTCACACAACTGTAAAAATGTAAGTATTAAATTCACGGATTCTATGTTCATCATTCTCCTTAAATCATGATCAGTAAACCACTCAAAATTAAGAAATTTTCTAATTTTAATGATGAAAATTATTCGTCAAAGTGACTTGTTTGCATTCAAATTTTATTATTACGCCTATAGGAATGATTTTTTAAGTATTTAAAAATGCATTATTCTTGGTCAGTTTTTATTACGTATTCGGTGAAGATTAAAAAAGTACTCATTTAAAAATGAGATTAAATAAACGTACGATAGTAAAATTTTTGCTATTTTAAAACGCACGGATGAGTCGACAAAACGTGGCTTTACTTTGGCATTATCATTTGAAAAGAGTTCATGTAAGTAAATAAAATTGAAAAACCTTGCGGATTGTCAGAAGTTGATAAGCATTCAAGTCAAGAAAGGGAAAAATGTGCTTTCGTGCAGCTCTACATTTTAAATATACTTTTGACTCTTGCAGATTCTACTCTGACATCACACAGCAAATGATTTTGAGACGTTATCATTCGATTACTAACTTCTATATTTTGAAAAGTAAACTATTACCACTTTACAAAAAAAGCAATCAATACCAAGACATAATTTACTTGGGACTTTCAAACACGATTTATTCAGGAAGAATTGAGTGACAATACATAGTAGAATTTTTTTCTTTTATTTTAATCTATCCTTACCACCCAATTTCCATCTAGAAAATGACTCTCAATAAAAATGATCGGTGATTACGCGATAGTAAATATCTTCTTTTTTTCCGAAAAATTAGCAAATAATTTGAAGTATTGGCTTCTTCATGTACTCATTTGTGCCAAAAAAAAACAAATCAATATTCTTTAGGATTTATGTAAGCATATTTTTTTACTTTTCCTCGTGTGGGGGTTAAGTTTTCATAGCATGAGATTTCCAGCAAAGAAAAGCAGTCTAAAGTAAAAAAAACTTTACACCATCACACAATACTCAATGTTTACTAATTATGTCGTAGAAATATCGAATATCTACTCATTTTTGCACAAGAAATGAAGAATGGGGAAATTATTCGAGAACAAATTTTCAGAAAAAGATACAAGTTTGAAGTTGAATCCACTAAGATTGATGAGCCACCAAACAACGAAAAAGATAAAAAATTAAGTTTTCAGTAAGTCTTAAGCATCAAGAAGTAATCGTAAGAAGAAAAAATCCAAAACCTCAGAAACATACCGGATTTACAACAGTGAGGATTATCTACACTGGCTCTTTAGCACTATTTCAGCCACCAGGATCTCACTTTACTGAACTACATATTGTGACTTGACATCTATTGAATTCTGGAAAATGCAATAAATCTCTGTTTTTTGTCAACAGACCTCTAAAACTCCAGAGGAAGCTTGCTAAACATAGAATAGTTGTAAAAAACTTACCTAAACAAGACAATGATTTTCACATCTGGTCTAATACATTCATATTTTGCCTCAGAGGTTGATGTAGTTACGTTATACTAATAGTAAGTCTGCATCTGCCCCTATTCCAGTCAAAAGCTCCACAAATGTTTTAATTCTCCGAATGCATGAAAGTCAAAAAAGCAGTTCAAATACACCCATTTTCCACGCCAGATTAAATTTTTTTTCTCTTTTTTTTCTCTTTTAATAAACTTCATAATATTAGTCCTTTGTACAGAAATACTATCCATTAACTATGGATTTTAATCCTGCGAGAATATTTCCTATCTATGCAAATTTCAACAAATTTCAACTAGAAGTTTTGTACGTTTAAAAAGTTTATCCATCCGAGGCCACAGACCTATATGAAATACAATTGGAGATAAACAAAGGTAAAATGTGTGACTAAGCAGATATTCCAAGCACAATCGCGTCTCGTATCAAACATAGTGAATGTTCATGTCTGTGTTTATGTGTGAGCTTTATTTTCTTCTTTTTTCGGTGTCAAATTTCGCACCAGTTGAAGCATTTTTGAGAAATAACAACCTCAAAATATTCGGGATAGTCTCAAGTAAATTGAACAGTTTTATTTTAAGACAGGAGTATAAGTTGTAGAGGTAATTACTCCATTTTCGCATTGGATAGACTTTAGGCATAGTCCTTTGCTACTTTCATGAAGATATGCAAGCTTATACTGGTGTCGATGGACATTGCATAAAAAGTTACCAATATATACTGAAAAATGATGTCACAAATTGTATGAGTTTAAAAATACTTCTTGAAATACACCAGAAACTCAGACTCTGTACTTTTGTTTAATGAAATTTCAGTATTTATTCTAAAGACTTTGCTGTGGTAATATCTCATCAAAGGAAAAATATATTCACCTCGAAGAAAATTTAGATTACAAAATGACCAGGAATAATTGTACTTGGAATACTGACATCGTCATCATTGCAACCAAAGAAGAAAAACATATTGATAAGACCCCAAAAAAGAAAAGTTATAACTTTAATGATATGAAATTTCTATATTAATTGAAATTCCTCCGAGAAAAATGCCAATAACCTCGTACTAGACTAATCCCTGTAGTAGCACAAAAACGTTATTTCAAAACGCTCAGCCTTTCGATTGTTCATTTCACGACTTCACTTCTTCATTATTACACGCAGAAAATGTATCTACGACTATAAGCCCTGAATTAGTTTCTTACCGCAGATGAAACGTGTTGCTTCTGATGCCTGTCTTTTGATTAAAATATTTTTTCTTCCATCGCGTTTCTTCACAAGTTGTAGTAAAATTAATATGACTACATTTTATGAAAGAAAAAAACATGTTGTTGGAAGGAACAATTTCTTCACTTTCTAATCGCAAGGTTTATATTGAAAGAAAAAGAAATTGAATCAAAGAAAGGTATCAACACTACACGAGTGAGCCTATCACTGAAAAATCCTTTATTTCAATTAAATCGGATATCTTTTACCAGAATCAGCCTGGCTACAATATACCTTGCCTGATTTATTCCCACATTTCACTATTTTAACTAGGAATACGAAGCAACATTCTGCCTTGAACTTTCAAGTGTCTAAAGAACAATTCTGAGGTTTTTTTTTTTTGTGAGTGTTGACTACAGCTCCTATATTTCTCGAGCAGAAATGAGAAATTAAGTCAACATAAAATGCAGTCAGAATAATTCTGGTCAAATACCTCCAATCAATGTCAAAAAGGTATTCTTGAGCGTTCCATACTTCGTTTAGAGCCTCGGTGCTGATTTCCCGACAAAACTGCGGCCTGATTGTTGAAACTTATAGACAGAGAGACAGACAAAGAGGACATAGGGAGTGGAGCGAACTCATTGGTTGAAATGGGTGGTTCCTATAGACTAAGGAAGAACTTTCTCCCTTGATGGATCACCTGATGGACTAAGTAAAGTGTCTCTTGTGAGATGCCGTTAGTTTATTACCTACCTCCTTTGTCCATAGCAACCACCCGCTACCAATACGATCCCTCCATATCTTTTTTGTATTCTTCGTCTATAGCTTTGTCTATCAATTTCAACAATCATCTCGCGGATGGGGCAGAGGGCAAAGGGGGCTGTCGTTTTGTTCAAAGTTCTCGCCGAAGGAATTCGCTTTGTAAACTGGTGGCGGGCCGTTCACGATGGCGGTCGGAAGCTCGAGGATTAGCAGTTGCAGTTGGGATTGTGAGGTCCTTGAGGCTGCTCCGTCAGTCGCGTTCCCTTGGCGCCACTCACCAGACTTGGATCCGTGTCTAAACTCTCGGACATTTTGTCACAGATTATATCCACTAGTCTCTCAAAGACAGCCTGAAAAAATACCCATCAACGGTTAGTATATTTTTGCAATCAGTCTACTATTACTGGGGGCGCGATACGATGAGGTCTGGAAAACCGGACGGGTAACACGGAAAGAAATTCAATGTTGATTTAGCATTTACACTGTTCAAAAGATGTCCGACAAGTTTCAAATGCTGATTTTACATTTTAACAAATGCTAACGTAATTCCGCCCACTGCAAAACGTACAAATTAAAATGTTATGTTAGCATTTTTGTATTGTAAAATCAGCATTTGAAACTTGTCGGACATCTTTTTAACAGTGTAAATGCTAAATCAACATTTATTTTTTTTCCGTGAAATACCAAAATCCATAATATATTACATAATATATTTTGCAATAGACTTTTGGTGGGAGTGTAAATATTTATGAAAGTTTAGATTCTTCGAATGTGTAAAACACGAGGTAAAAAAACCCTGAGATATACCGAGCGTTTGCTCATTTTAAGGCAGAAAATAATATGAACATGCATGACCTAAAAGTGGAGGATAGATAACATTACCCAAGTTTAAAATAGGCACAGTACAGGAATATTAGCGTATAGATACATAGTATTACACGCGTGAGACAGCAGAACGACAACATTTTTAATTGTTTTTACACATCCCACTGAATCGCCTTTTAAACCTGTCAGAATGACTACAATTCTTTAGTAAAACCTAAATTGCATCAGCGGCTGATAATTCAAGCAAATATAAGTATACTCATCAATCCATTTGTCAGATCGAAGTCTAATGAGTCACACCTTAGTTAGACTCATGTAGCAAGACCATGGTCCGACAAAGAGTCTCTTGTTAGACCTAAATTAGACTAGAAAATGCACTTAGAATGTGGCTCATGGACTGATTTAGTGGCTACGTCATGGTTCTAATCGTCGCTCCTCTGACGTAAGGGCGTATCTCTATTTCCACATGAGCCTTAGAAAGCATAAAGTCTACGGAGGTCAGGGCTCACGTGGTAATTGAGATACGCTCTTACGTCAGAAGAGCGACAAAATGTAAACAAACACATGCCCTGGTAAAATTTGCATTGGCGATAGGAGCTGCGTTTCAAAATACCATAAGAGTTCTTATAGCCGACTGAAGAAGGCGATAGAAAATTATATAGCTGGCTGTAGGAAGTGGAAAAAAGCGTACGGCCGGGCTACACGAAGCGATAAAAAATTATACAGCCGGACTATAGTTCCTATCGCCGGGCTTTACACTTTATCGCCTGGCTGTTGCTTTTTTGCCATCGGCTGTAAAAAGCTATAAGAGATTGTGTAGAAATTCATGTGCTTTGTAAATCCTTAAGTTTGTACGGAATCACCTTAATATTTACAAAACGCACATTATATTTTTTTTTACTCCCTACTTTTCTTTTTTTCATCAATTAAAATGAGAATGATCCATACATATACAGAGTGTGCAAACATTTCAAAGTCATGAGTTGAAAAACGCTGACTCCACGAGATTAAATATTAGAGCCCAACACAAAGCGGAGCGGTGGCGCACTGGCGCCTACAAACCTAACATGGATACTTCACGCATTGCGCAATGCGTGAAGTATCCCTGTTAGGTTTGTAGGCGCCAATGCGCGTTTCGCGCTGGCTGTCCGCCCGCCGCAGCGTACCACGGCACTTGAAGCAACCAATTTACACCAGAGGTATTTCACAGTATCATACAAAATTGAAGGCGCTCCAACATATTAGGAATGGCAGGCATCTTTCAAAAGTACGGAGCTTTCCTCGCAAAATAAATCAAGATACTGCGGCCCAAAAAGAGAGCGGTAGTTCAAAAACTCACTAAGTCCTAGCATCCGTAATTAGTAACGTTTAGCATACACTTTATCGCCAAGCTGGTGCTTAATCGCCATCGGCTATAAATGACTATAAGAAATTGTGTTGCCGGCTATAGAAGCTATTGGAAATCTTACAGCCGGCTGTAGGTCTATGGTATTTTGGAACACAGATTCTACCGCCAATTTTTACCAGGGTGATCTTGTTTCTGAATCGCGTCCTTCACGCTGCCTTCGCCATCCTTTGCGCCATGGTGGTAAAAATGTGTCAAAGTGTTTCTTGCGATCAAAATTACTCGTGTTTTATGAGTCCTTCATTGACTTATGACCTGTCAATGACTAAATTGTGAAGAATTAACGCATTAACCCACGAGGAATTTGTACATAAGGTTATATTAGTTTGTTTCGGTTTGCACCAAGACTTCAACATTATTTCGAATGATGTAATCACTAAATCAGTCTATAACAGCAGGATTTAATACTTACTTTAACATTTATATTTTCTTTCGCAGATGTTTCGAAAAACTCTACTCCTAATTGCTCAGCTAGCTGCTTTCCTCTCTCGAAGGATATTACTCGCTCATCTTCCATATCGCATTTGTTGCCAACCAATATTACTTGTGCGTTATCCCACGAGTAGGTTTTAATTTGTGTTACCCTGGAAACAGAGAAATTTAAATTATTATTCAAAATAATGAGGGCTGTCGCATCGCATTATTTTTTTCCGCACAAATTGGAAGAAACATTCCATTTTCTATCCGAAGAAGGGTGCATTATCATAATGCACTTATTTTTTTGCGGCGTATAATGCTGCAGTCTAACTTTGCAATCTAAGAAAATCGCGATGCACCAAGTCGGATCTTGACGTGTTCTGTCAATTGCAAAGCACTCGTATTATCTGTCTCACATGTCAAAACATGCTGACTACTGAATTGAAATTTTTTCAACCAATCCTAATCAATTGTGATACTATTGTGATAATATCATCTTTTTAAAAAAAAAATATATTTACTCCTTATGTTCTTGCGATACACACAACAGGACTTTTGAGAAAGTTGCAAACAATGGTATGCTATATCATAACATTATTGATGTCATATTTTCTTCTGGCTGATCTAAAGAATGATAAGATTTTCCTATAGCCAATTTATATTATAAAACTGCTCCTTTATACGAGGGTATTTAAATTGGCATTTTAGGTACAAGGCCGGATTCGCCTACTTGCCGCCCATGGGCCGCTTGTATTTTGCCGCCCCCTTCTCATTCGTTTTGAAACTCGATAAAAACCATCAAATGAACGTGCCAGCGGGGGAGGGGCGCATAAGACGCATTTACTCGTATTAAACACATTTTTTTGGAAAGCCATGTCAACACTATTAACAAAAATTCACGAAACTTTGCGCGATAGTTAAGTTCCGTAAACCTATCTCTGTGTGGACAAGGCCTTCCATTCATAAGAAAATGAACGAAAAAATTATGAAAGAACAAACAGAAATGTGGTTCAATGATTTTAACTTTCGCCGCCGCGCCGCGCAGACCGCACCGTGTTGGACGCAATGCGTGAAGTATTCACGCAGTCTTGTAGGCGCTATGCGTTTCACGCTGACCGCACTGTGCTTGGTGCAATGCGTGAAGTGTTCATGCATTCTTGTAGGCGCTATCCGTTTCACGCTGACCGCAATGACCGCACTGTGTTTGATGCAATGCGTGAAGTTTTCATGCAGTCTTGTAGGCGCTAATGTGTGTTACATGCCGATCGCCGCGCCGACGGCTTAACTCGACTTATTGAAAGTGCTGTCTCTTGTATCACTAGGAGACGACAAAATTAGAAATTACTATACTCTCAGGAAATGAGAGATTTTGACCCCTTTTCTCGTTTGTAATTTTGTTTTTATAAATCCGATTTTTTTTCATACTTACACTTTAAAAAATTACAAATTTTTGCCGCCCCTTAGATTTGCCGCCATGGACCGCGGTCCATGTGGCTACCCCCTTAATCCGGCCCTGTTTAGGTATACGACACCTTTCTATTCCCAAAATGTTTTTTAGCATATTCTTCCTGTGATGTAGGTCCTTCGAAAGTAAAATAATATTCGTATGTGGCACACTACTTTGTATTTTGTACTTGTTTTGCAGGAACATTAAGAAGGACAGGTTTGATAATTTGCCTGATTGATTTTGGTTCTGATCACGAGGTGCTATCGAATCCACAATTGAACATTATACCAAATTTTGGGCGTATATTCAAATAGTGATGTTATAAATACTATGCTTCGCAATATGCTGATTGACGACTAAAGCTTGGCACAATTTCTCAAAATTTATATTGATTCTGCCTGAAAATTGATTGAATAATCAATGTTCCAATGTTCCAAGTATGTTACGTAGTTTGGGCTAAAATCAGACAGGTTTATGGTTAAAACTGATTAATTCCCTCGCAATTTGTGCCTGAAAAGGACGCGCAAAATTATTGAAGTTCTTCATCAAGAGGTTCATGAAACTCATTAAACCTTAATGAGGGTTTTGCATGGCTCAGGGATTTGCGATTTAAGTACCGTCCCTTATAAAAAATTTCGCGGCCAACTCGATGACGCCACATGTTCTCTCTGGAATAAACTCCCAAGCTCCAAAAAAACTCTTATAGTTCAGGCCATAGTGGAGAGAATCATTGCTCAAGCTACGCTGAGAGTCCGCCCCTATATTCAATCAATCTCATTATCCACACGACAGGGAGAAAATAAGGGTGGCATGATACGTAATAAAGAAATGAAAGATTAACAATTTCAGTGAAATATTTCATGAAATTTCACGAGGTTGTGAAATATTTCTTATTTTTCAGAGGCTGGAGTATGCAACCTGCACTTAAACACACAAGAATATAAGAAATTCACAATTTTTACATTTTGCGAAACATGAAAAGGAGTTTCTTTTTTTCAATTTCTTTCATAAATTTCTAAAATTTCAAGAAATATTTCACGTGAAATTTCAAGATTTTATTTTTCATGAAATTTTGCCACTCTGGAGAAAAAGCATCAGCAGCGTTGCCATTTTTTGGGGGGCTGGAAACCTGGAACCAGAGCAACCCTACAATCAATTGATCTAAACATGTGCGAGTTTGACTGGATATAGGGGTGGACTTTGAGCGTAGCGAGAGGGATCACTTCTAACAATTACAGCCTCACCTTTGAAAGGGGTTTTTAAGCTTAGGAGTTCACCTCGTAACAAAACTAGTGGTACCATCGTGCTTCTCGCAATATCTTGCACACTAAATGTGCTTTAAGTCCCAGACGCATTCAAAAATTCCATTTAATCGTCAAATAGAGGTACGGTCATATCGATGCACAGAACTAATACTAATGATGTGCATACAGGGATCTTCTATCGATATTTTTGGACTGTGAAGATAAAGAATGATGCATTAAGTAATAGTATTTGATACTTTTTGCCCTACGTGAACCACCAGCATGATTATGATTGCTGTTTTTAATGTTTTTAAACTCTGATGCCATGAGCACCTTCTTTCTTCAGAGATGCATTTGTCATCGCCCCTCTGGTGTAAGGGCGCAGCTCTATTTCCGCATTAGCCCCAGAAAGCATGAATTTATTCGTGAAACAAAGCTCACGGAGAAATTAAGATACGCCCTCACACCAGAAAAACGACGTTATGTCTGCCTTGCTAAAAAAGAGCGCTGTATGAACCTTCAGGCGTTGTTTTTCCTCTTGCAAATTATTAATTTTTGGGAAAATTTTTGAATATTTGTCTGCCGATTTCTCATATAATTTTGTTGGTAATTTGATCTAAAGTATCTAAAAATTTCAAGGAAAAATATTCACAATTTTCCTCAAAAACAAACATTTTATCGAAAGAAATTGTGCATCTCTCGAATGTTCATACGGCGTTTTTCCCGAGAACGGCAGATATGTAGTGAGGCAGGAATAGTACTCACCAATCTTGAACGCTATTGAATGATTCTTCATTCGTGATATCATACATGAGGATGAAGCCCATAGCGCCTCTATAATACGCTGTCGTGATTGTCCGGTATCGCTCTTGACCTGCTGTGTCCTGGAAAATCGAGAATATATTTTGAGAATTTAGATTCAACCCACGGTACTAAGATCCAAACATTTTGTAATTAATGTCAACCAATGTCAGTGGCGTGACCAATCCACACAGGTCTGTCATCGCAAATATTTTTGAAATCCACGTCTCCACCCAGCCATGCCCGGCCTTCACCGGTTGCTCTCATAAAATATATATTTCATTTAAATTTCCCGCCCCCAAAACAGCCAGCACTACGTCACAGCGTACACTGAAAAAAAATGTATGCACTCACGCTTCATAAATTATGGGTCGGGGCCACATGCGGACTAGCTGTGAAAAATTTGATGCCGACCTATGAGTAGAGATAAAGTCTATTTTAGTATGAACAAATATTACATACGAAGATTATGTACTCCGAGTTCATACCGTATGGACCCAGCGTCCATACCGTATGAACGGAAGTTCATAAACATGTTTTTCCATACACGACATGTTTACGGCACATGTTTGCTCTAGTCGTGAAAGTCAGACCACATGTGCGAGCAGTTCATACCTTAGATGTCCCAAGCAGTATGGACTCTCACCACATAACCATTGTTTTCAGTGTAGTAGACTTTCGAAACTCGTCTTCGGGAATGGCCGTCCTGTGTAGATTAGTGTCGCTCAAAATTATGTTCTTTTAAATGCAAACTCGGAACTGCCGCAACTCAAGTTTTGTCGGATATTTTTCAGTGTTAATTCTCTGAAAATGTTTGTAGAATACTGCAAAAATGCAAAGGTTGGATTTTATCGAATCGAATTTGGCAACGTTGGAATGTTTATGTGATGTTCTTCCCTAGCGCGGCAGATTTCCTCTTCGTCCGTAGAGACTAAGGTTGCGGTGGGATTCGGCTGAAATGGTGTGCGGCATATTAATTTGAACGACACTCGGCAAAAAGGATTCATTTAGGAGGCCTTTGAAAACAACTTATAGTTTATTGCAATGGTTCGGTAAATGCGCAGTTTCAAAACTATGCTCGGGTAGGTTTTTTCTGTGCTGCACTGAGTAAATGTGTACCATTTTCAGTCATGTTTTAACCTTAAAATGTGTTTGTTGTGGGTCAAACACGTAATCACGCAATCACGAAGAACATAGAGGGCATGCACTACTGCCTTTCCTGACTTGAAATAGAAAAGGACCTTTTCATATGAATACAAATCCGTTGATTTTTAATAATTTAAACAATTTTAAAGTCTTTTGAATGGATATTGACAGTTTACGAGGAACGGAGGATTTATCCGAGAATATTCTCCAAGCAGAAGTTGCAAAGGTCTATTCTCTCACAACTAATTTTTAATCGAGGTTACCTGTCTCAAAAAATTGTTTTACACAAATTTAAGAAACTTGCCGTCTGGAACTTATGAAACAAGCATGCGTCCATCTCCAAGAATACTACTGTACGCGCACGTGTTGGCAGTTTTGCCTACTTATCAAACTGAAGGGAAACGCCGCTATGTGTTGTATAACGAGGTTTCGGACGAGCAACAAAAAATGAATTGCCTACTCCAGCACTTCAAAATGATGGAATCCTTGAAGTTTGATTAATATTTGTCTGATGAAAGTTTGGGGAGAAAACAAAGTTGAAGAAGAAACTTTTAACTCCGGTTAAAGATAAAAAAGACAGAAAGAAGAAGGAATATCTTACTGTATTAAGTGTATTATCAGCAGCAAGTCAATACTTCCAATTAATGAGCGAACTCTATCCGGACTGTTCTTGCATATTGATTCCGTCTCTTCGTAAAATTAGATTAAATTGTCTTTTTAATCATAATTACGTTTTGCCTTTGTATCTTGAATTTAACTTCTTTATTCAACTTTTAGCTCCATAAATTGAAATCCTACCAATAATTATGACTTTATCTTTCTACTTTGCGGAACCTATAGTTTTGCATAGTTTGAAATCGGCAAAAGTTGTTCGGTCTCTACTTGTTTTTTCCAGCCAAGCAAAAATAATTTGGCCCGATTTGCGTGGACATGACTGAAACGCCCCCAGCAAAACCATTTTTTTCATGCTTTACGTAAGTAAAACTATTTTCCACTGAAAATAAAAACTTTCGCTGCACGGAAAAAACGAGTTCAGGGCTGGGACCTGCGCGGATGGTCCCACCCCTAACCGGGTAGGTAAAATTGTTCACCTCATACTCCATAGGGGCAGGCCTGGCGCGGGTAGACCCCAAACCCACCTGCTTCAGGGTTCAGCCCTACTTGGTAAGGGCTGGACCCTGTCCAGGTAGGGCTGGGCCCTACCCGCGCAGGGCCTGCCCCTGTGGGGTATGATGTGAAGCAATTCTAGGACCTAGCCCTAATCTCATTTTTCCCGTGTGCGGCTAAACCAGTTCAGCGTGGAATTGGGTTTACAGACGTTTACATTTATTCTGATGTCACCATGACGAATCGGTCGGTCGAGATGACGTCAAACGCTGCCAATTTTGTTGAGTTCAACAACGCTCCTAATGTGTCTTCGCAAATGACCCCCATGGGATGAGCTCCGTCCTCCGGTCTCCCTGAAATTGAATCATTACCACGACGGTTTAATGAGAAAATATAATTCAAGTGATTTATTTTACGTATACGTACCCATATTTGTAATTTAACTCTTTTGTCGTGTCGAAAGACTGTTTTAACTTTGAAGTCAATACCAACTGTGGAAACAAATGCAGATGTGAACGAGTCGTCGGCGTACCGGAATAGAAAAGACGTTTTTCCAACGCTACTGTTGCCAATAATTAACAATTTGAACATGTAGTCGAAATTCTGGTCTGCCGCGTCCTTCTGCCATTTTGGCTCCTGTCCACCCGCCATCTGAAACACAAAAAAAAACATGATCGTAAACAAAGCCAGCTAAATTATAGGTCAGTTAATATCATTCGAAGGGTATCGATAGCCAGAGTGTGAAATAGTGTAACTCCATTCTGCCGTGCTAAGGAAAAACGCCGTATGAACCTTCAGGCGTTGCCAAATTTCCTTTGATATAACATGGATTTCCTGATGAACTTATGAATATTTTTCTGCCAACTTTTTAGATAATTTTGTTTACAATTTCATCTAGTGTTCCTGAAAATTTCAAGGAAAAATATTCATAACGTTCCTATAAAATAAACATTTTATTGGAGGAAATGTGGAAACTCTTTAATTTCCGCCAAATTATGATAAAATCGAGAAAACTTTCTAAAATTTTGGTTTAAACTCATAGACTCAAGTTATGCTTTTTGCATTGTATCAACACATATTTGTGAACCTAAAAAAACGATGGTCGCACCATCTGCATTGAAAAATGCATTATTCCCTTCCTCCAAAAATGCACCCTGAGCATGCAGTCAACATGGAAATATTTTGTGTGCCCTAGTACCAACTCTGCGAGTGAATGCCACTTTCGACTCGACATGTGCATGCTAACTCGTCACCTTTTTCATTACTTTTTCTCCTGTTCGACCTGCGTGCAGCAATGATACGACTGCACGTTGCCATTTCCGTGAAAACTCACACCGCGACGATCAAGCGGAAAATCTTGCGGGAATACGGCCCACTTTGGCAACTCTGTTAGTGATAAGGCCCGCGCGGTGGGGCTATTATCCTGTCAGTTGCCCTTGGTATTTACGTGAGCCAAAATATTGACTCCTCCGGAAGTTATTCGAGTCATTTTACCACGATCGTAGGTTTAATGGCATCTTTACTCGTTAAACGCAAAAGAAAAAAAAAAACAAGCGAACTACGGAATATTGAAACAAGGAATGTTGGATGATTGATCTATGCGACAAATTTATTTTTAAAAAAATGCAAGTATTAATAAAGTAAAATTTGAGATTTTCCACTATTAGATGGTGCAAGTCCGCGAACAATCGAACATGTATATTGGTTTGCGACGTTGTCATACTTTATTTTTTAAATCGAAAGCTACTCAACGGCAATTCTTAAAAACTGCCGTGATTTTATTTATCCTGTGTAAAGAAGATTCTATGAGGACTTCATGGAATGTCAAGTTATTCTAATCTATTTTTATTTTTATTTTTTTTTTAAAACATTTTATGTCAATATGACGTAACTGCTACGAGGATGTGTCTTTTATCCATCTAAATGATTAAAATAAACTAAATAAAAATACAAAGTAACGTTACATAAGAATACCAAGGGGAACAAAACAGAAACTGAGTCTTTTAAACACCTTATACGGTGTTTGAAAGACTCAGTTTCTGTTTTGTTCCTGTTCAGTTTCTGTTTTTTGTATCAACAAGATACATGGTTTCGGACTTACGCCATCGTATTGCTTTATTCATTTGATGTATGGACGGAGTAAAGGTGTTTTTTTAAAAAAAAAAAAAAAAAAAAAAAAAAAAAAAAAAAAAANCCCGCCATACTCTCACGTGGTCTACTCAAATTCAAGTGAAATGGGCTTTCATTTTGTAGAGAAAGACGAATTGGATGGGTAAAAAAAGTTAATTGCAATACTGCTATGCCTAGTAAATTTCCTCCAAGTACTCCTGGACGAAAGTAATTCGCAATAACGCAATACTTTATGGACAAAAAAAAACGAGAATGGGTTTGCCAGGGCTTCGATGAATGGCGGTGATTTTCATAAACCACTGTGCGCGGGTATTATAATAACGGTGTTATAGCGCCAACCGTCAGTAGGAACACAATTACTGCGCTGGCTAACGCTAAAAGTGATTAATATTAAATCTCGCCCGAGGGGTAATTTATGACACGTTTGGCGATACAGAGCTTTTCGATCCGTATCCAAAAGTTATGGTTTGCACTTACGATTTTTTCCAGTTTATTATCACTGGATTAGGGTGGTATGACGTAACATATAGTGGGCGAAAATCTACAATTAGTCTTTGGTGCAAATCAGGTCCCTCTAATGAGATAGGTATGCCTGAGTTGTCGCGATATATTATCTGTGTACTATGAATGGCATAACGAGTGTTTATAGGAAATTTTATTTATTACGCACCACACTAATTTTCGGTGCTGAGTTTTTCAATCAAATCTATTCAAATATTTAATTTTTAATTATTAATTTTCTATCAGTGCGATGAGATTGACGCAGTAGTCCTGCACTGAAAAAAAATGGTTCCGTTCATGGGGCTCCTGCACTTTCTTTGTCACAGTCACAGAAGTTTCTGTTATGAAGGCAGAGTATACTCTGTGCTCATGACCGAAGTTATGTTCTCACAATGGAAAATTTCTGTAAGCATATTAAAGAAAGTGCAAGAGCCCTGTGAGCAGAGGGTTCTGTCATCAGCGCACCGATATTTGTTTGCGTAGGAAAATGACACGGAAAAAAGACACACGAACAATGGGTAATAAAGGTTAAAAAGTTTGAACTTTAAAGGACCGGGCTCTATTCCTATACAGCGTGGAAAACAACACATAAATTTGTAAAACCTAGGACCTCAGTCACTTTTTAGCATCTCAGTGAAGGAAACCCGCACTCTTTTCTAGAAAAAAAGTATGGGATAAGAGAGAATGAGAGGTTAACGTTGGAGCATATATGTTACCCGTCATTATTGCGAAAAAAGCGACGCAGAGAAAATGCAAAGAACAAAACAGGACACAAAAAAAGAGGAAGTGGTTGGTATAATTACGTAGTCTGATGGGAAGGCCACAAGGCGATTTTCAGGTACCCGTTCCTGCGGTAATTGCATGGTGGTAAGCTGAAGCACCGAACTCACTCAAGGATCAGTACTCACTTACTCACTTCCCACGACCGCTACATGGGAGTATAAAACAGACGGTTCGCAATGCACCTGGCAAAGGCCCAAACAGATCCATGGTTTGTACCGCGGTGCCTCGTTTCCAGATTTCTTGGCATCCCTGAATTCCGACTTCGTATCGACGTGCAAAAAAAATGTCAAAAACTGCCGCATTTTTTGGAACTATATTGGATTTTTTTCGGAAGGGGGAGGGTGAGGGTCAAGGCTGATCCTCCTCCTCCTCCTTTGAGTCTACCTCACCGAAAAAATATGATAGATTTTACCATACTAACACAGTGATCCGAGGATGATAATAAACACCAGACTCTAAGGTGGCCTTTACCATATTTGGTGAGCAGAGTTCTATTAAATACTACTACAATAATTCTAGTTATTTTCACTAAATAGTAGCACTACTGTGTAAGAAAATCGAGACAAATATGATGTTACCATACTTCTTTTTTCAATACTGGCCTCTTCATGAAAATGTGAGAGATTTGGCCAAAAAAGTGCTTGACATTTAAACAATTATAATTTTTAATCGATTTTTTAATAGGGCCAACTGAAAAATGCCCGTTGACGCTAGAATGTCCACTCGAGTCCTAACCCCCCCTCCCCCCCGGAAAAAAGTTTTCTTAAATCCAGCCGTGAATGCCCAATGAAAAGGCGGACTACCACGTGTTTGCTATTGGAAGAGGAAGTTTTTGAAGAATTGCCAGTTTGAAAAGGAAATATCGATTTGTTTTCTGAATATGGGAATTTAAAGCTCATGGTAAACTGAACAATCTGCTGAGATTTCTCTCGATACTCTTTAAAAGTTGCATTCCTCTGCCGTGTAGAGTGAGATTCAAAGGAAGCAGTAAAGAGCTCGATTTCCGACAAACTTAAAGAACTGATATCCATCCAATTGGCCTCAGTGATAATTAATTGTCAAAGCCTTGGACTTCTCTGCCCCTTTCAGAGTTTGCCCTGTCACAGACGCAAATCCATTTAAGAATTAAACGAGGTTGACCGGATCCAACGATTTTATGACACAAGAGGGGTTTGAGGAAACTGGGAGCTCAAATCGAGTCCTCAGCCCTGCTATGATGATTTTGAACACGAGAGACTAAAATCTCAACGAAATTCATGGCCTTTTTACGATCGTCACGAAGTTGTGACGTCATGACTCAAGCCTCTCATCTTTAAAAAGGATCCCACGCTGATTGCAAATGGGAGCTTATCTCATGAATTGATTTCTTCCCATTGGCGACGAGCTGTAAGGTCTAGAGATAGTGTATCAATGTTTTTTTCTCGTGAGAGGACTGATGAAAACTTTCTTGTGCTTTTGACCAAAAAGAGCCCTTGTTTAGTCCGTTTATTTGAAGTTTTTTGAGTTTCATCACCAGAAATTAATCAAAAAGCGCCTTTCTTATATGTGGAACATGTACAATTTCACCTATCGACGGCGCGGCGTAAGTCCGCAATTACATATCTCGTTTGCGGTGTCTGAAAATCTCCGCCTCTATGTTATTTTTTTAAAGGAGAACAAATTGACATCGTTCCTTGAAGTGAATGCAGAACTTTCTTCGCATAGAGAAGAAAAACCACGACAGTTTCAAAGAATTGCCGTTGAGTAGTTTTACGTTTAAAAATAAAGTATGACAGGAAGTCTGCGACGTCGAAAACCAAGTTATGTGATTGCCCACTTACACCGTCGATATGCAACATGTACAATTTTACATATGTTGAGATTGAACACCTGCATCCAAGCGTCACCATTAAGATAGCCAAAGCTCCTTCAAAATTTCTGTACGGAGAGCGAAAATCCATTGAACGTTAATCGTTTCATGCAGGCGTTCCAATTTCTAAAGTCAGAGCGCCTTCAATTTTTTTGAATGCAGAACAGACATCAATCGAGCATGAATAGTGGCATCAGGCGTTACCATTAAGATAGCCACAGCGCTCTCAATTTTTAGCATGAAAGATAACCCAGTCATGATGCAGTTCAAGTTTTCCCAAAGGAGAAAACCAGCCTCCTTCAAGGCAATGGAGATGTTGCATGTGTGAGGAATTTGCGATTTGACTGTTGATTCTTGTGTAAAAGTTCGCGAGAAACACGATGGTGCC